CATTGGGCCGCAACTGAGATGATCGGCCAATTAGTCCTGCGCGCTGACGAACAGTTGTGCAGCTTCGCCAGGCGGTGCGCCGCGCTTTCGTGAGCGCCCCGACACCCAAACATCCCATTGACCCCGCTGTTCACACCACTCTTCGCCTCGAGGGCCCACCCGCGGGCAAATCCGCAACAGCTTTTATGGCAAAGGCCGATGTGCGGAACTTGTGCAGGAGCACAGTGGACGGCTCCCGAGTCGGGCGGGGCCGGGCTCTGTCCATTTCGGGCCGCGTGCGCCCCTGCCTCCCCATCCAATGTGCCCGAGGAGGCAGCGTCACTGAGGTGTAACGCCGGGCACGTGGGCCTTGTACCGCGGCGGAGGTACACAGCGCAGGCGGGACGCCTTACAGAGCGTGCCGATGAGCCCACCGCGTCGCGTGGATGACAAAGAGTGGCGTTCCCTGGCTCCGAATCTCGCTCGCGCGAACGGTACCTCAACAATACAACGCCGCTCGCACCGTCTCCCCGAGCGGCGGCGAGGGAGAGGTGGCGACGCGCCAGAGCGCGTTGGGAGGGCTGTACGTCTGCCGCAGCGGTGCTGTGGGGCGGGGGTGGGGTGTCGGTGGCGGGGCCCAAAGGTCAGCTTTTGTCTTGAGCATTGAGCGACACCAAGGTCAGCACCCCGGGCGGCGGCACAGGTCGAGGCGCCGGTGGGCGGGAGTGGGCGCGCGGACGCATGTCAGTGCCGCGCCGGACGCGCGAGGCTCTGTGAGATTCGTCTTTTGCAGGGATTTTCTGCTGCGTTTGCGTTTGAGCGAATCGAGTGCGTGGTACTTGTCCCCGCCCGCGCCAGCCGAAGCTTCCCATGCTCCCCTGCCCGCGTGACACTGTGTCCGGCGTCTTGAGGCGCGCTCTGCTGAGTGTTGGTTTCGGGGAGAGGCGGCCTTGCTCGGCACCAGGGACTGAAGGACACTCCCAAATTGGAAAGGGCATTGATTGGCCTTGGAGAATGGCATGGACAAGAGCGCATTGAGCATGGTGGCTGCTTTTCGGGGGATGCCAGGACCCCCTCGCCGTCGTCTGCCCACCCGATATGGTCGCCGGATCGAATGGCAGTCGGCTTGAGCGACGTCGGCCGTGGCACCCCGGCCGGGGACCGTTGCCCGATCCACGCGGGCCTCGAGCCATGGTACAGCGATCGGCCGCGCTGCAGCGGCCCTCACTTGACCGATTGCGCGCTGACCGGACTTCCGCCCAGGACTCTTGCGGGCGTCCTGCGCCCCCGGAACCTCCCTGGACCCTGGGCCGTCGAGGACGTCCTTTCTGCCGCCGCGGCGCCCACCGGGCGGGGGTGGGGGGGCCGCGTCACCCGCGTTCTTTTTCCGTCTCCCCCAACACCGATGACTGTCGCCGGGGCTGAGTAAACTGACCGCACCATCACACAATGACCAGCCCGCTCACCCCACCACGAGAACCATGATCCGGGGTGATGCCGCATCGGAATCGCAAGGAGTGCGACCAGCAGGATAAGTGGCGGCAAGGGGTGACATTGGCGCTGCGTAATCATGCAATGTCCAGCGCGTCTGAATCGATCAACGGGCGTTACATGCGCGTGCATAAGGCGGTCCGCAGTTGCCTGTGTTGATGGCACGCTGTCTTCAAGGGCGCCGCTGGCTCAGGTCCGTTCGTTGTAGGATCGTCAGCTGACAAGTCTACTATCCGGCTGGTGGTTGTGGGGCTTTGTGTGGCGCTTGCTCTGCGCTTGTTGTCAAGTGCACTCCCTGATTCAGTGTTTGGTGCCGTGGTTGGTTGGGGATGTGGGCGCCTCAAGAGCAGGGCGAGAATACATCAGTCCCTCTGTCTTTTCCGTGACGACCCTTCTTCAGCTGACAAGGCCAACGCCAGTCAGTGGGTCAGTGGTTTAGGGTTTAGGGCGTGCGAAACAAGAAGGGGTCTTCACGGAAAGGAGAGAGCGACTAATTTCATGCCGAGTCTGGCTGGCCGACGACCGCGGTGATGAGACCAGTGTCGATGTCGACAACCGCGCATGGATGCAATTTCGAAGCATAGACCGTGAACTGCATCATGAAGGTCGCCAGAAGAAACGGACCCGAGTCGCCGAGGATCCAAGTTCACGGCCAGCCCTGGCGCAACGGCTACAAGACCGAAACATACGCTGTTGCAGGATCTGGTATTGGCCACTACAGGATCCGCCATTTGGATTGCAATGCATTGAGGCCATCGCCATTGTCGGCTGAAGAATCCGTTTCGTACTTCGATGTACGAGGTGCCATCGCTTTCCTCCTGGAATTCTAAAAGATAATCTCTTGCCCGCCATGCATTGCCTCCAGAATTCGAGTTCTACAGGAAGGCATGGTGTAAAAGGGGCATTGAGATATTGCCCGGCATCTTCCAGCACGGCTGGCGAGTTTTCAACTTGCGTCAGTGCGCATTCTTGCTCAAATTTCAACTCCATTTCCGGACACGCCTGGCCGCTTTCTTCTCACATGTCTCTGATGGGCAGTCGATGGCATCCTGGACTCCCTTCTGTTGGACAAACCACGGGAATTCTTTCAGGATGAGACCGTTTTGTCAAGCGAACGTCGAGCTGATGTAATCATATGTTGGGCGATCCAGACCCACGGTGCGCGACATGATATGGGTGTGCTAAAAACGACGCAGGCCAACAAGAAGATAAAGATTACAGTCCTGGCTAGCTACCCGGGACTTGTCAGAAGAACCTCCTCAAAAACTTCAATCTGCAGCCTGTCTCCCAGGATGGGGAAGAAACTTGCATGTTGGGAATTCAAAGGCTGGTGCAGTGGCTGCAGCGCTGGCCGCAGGCGTGTCAGCGTCGGCTTTTGTCCGCTGAGCCGCGTCCATATCTGGGAGTTTCATCGGGAATGAGGCCCAGGGCAAGGATTCTGATTTGTTCCCATCCGCACTCTAATGAGTGCCAATATCGACACCATGGTGTGGATCGACGCTCTCACTATCAGTCGCAACGTCAGTGCTTGCCACAAAATTGACCCTAAGAGGCAGGAGAGCTGAAGTTAACAAGATTTGAAGCTAAACGTGAAACTGGCAACTGGTTGGAGAAAACTCTTTGTTGGATAGGGCCACCATGGTCACAAACAGGACATGGCCCTAGCATGTGCGCTGCCGATTCGGTAGTGCCGCCCCGAGCTGCACTGGGCTGGGTTTGGCTCATTCAGCGTGCGGCAACAGAACGCAGCTTCTTGCTTTGCATCCATGCCCCATCATTACATCAGACGCAGTTATTGTCATATCTAGAGGCATCTGGCCGTCCATTACTGTCAGTCCAAGCCAACCACTATCCAGGAAGGGCCGCAACATTCCAAGAATGTGCGCAATGGCGAATCAGGCAATCGCCAAGGACTCCATCCATGCTGCAACCACCGGTTTTGCCAAATTCCTTGTTTAACATTTGCCTTAAGACAAACGCGAATGTCTGTGAACCACAGGACAAAACGGGGCTCTTGCACCTTGAAGTCGATGGCAGGGATACGCACATCCAAAACTTTCGTTCTGTCTCTCACTCTTGCACTTCTCTGTGCTGCCGCTGCGCGACAATGCATCTGGAGACCGTTGTGTGCTGTGGTTTCTAAGCGTATGCGTTTATTTTCAAGTGCAAGCACAGCACTGCGCTGATTCGTTGTGATGCGTTGCCAGAGGGCGACAATGCATCTTGGTCTTCAAGCGCCAGCGGCGACTGAATGCAGCGCCCCAGCAGTGTTGCAGAAAAGTAGCGGTGTGGATCCCACACGGAACAGGAGGGGCCTTCAACTTTTCAGTGCCAGACAACCAGCGCGCATGGCATCTTGGATCCAATGGCTGGTACTGATATGTCCACTGTCCTCATTCCCAATGCTATTGCGAGCATGTTGCTCATGAAAATCTATCAACTTGAGCAACCGATGTTGCTCAACGTGTTGGGCTCGTGCTTCTGGCGGCCAAATGCCCAACGATGTCGTTCCCCAATCAGGATTGCTGTGTTATCAACGCCTTTTCTGTCAGGGTGTTGTCGCTGTGTGCGGTTCAGTTCCAAGCCCTGTGCCTATTCTGCACATTTTGCTCAAGGGCGATTTGTTCAGGGGAACTGTATTCAACCACTTTTGCGTGGCAGTTATTGTCCTGGGCACCATGTCCCGTTGTTTGTCGACCTGCCCACGAGCACGGGTTCTGCGTGCATGTGCATGACAAGAAGTTTCACCGGCTGTCCACAGGCTGTTGGCACAAAGGTGCTGTGGGTCACAGTCGCGCCAGGACACCCAAGTGGCTCACAGCAACCCTGTCACTGATTACTTTTGGGAAATGGCCAGCTGCAAGCAAACAACGGGAGCACAAAAAAAAGTATCTTCATTCAACTTTTGCTCCTTTTATTACCGCATTGCCCAAATCACACGTGACCCTTGATCAGAGAATTTCATTTACTCTCTTCTCTTGCCTGCATTTTGTCGTGCAACAGTGGCTTTCCCAAGCCATTACATGCAATGTACAGTGTGCTTACAGTAGAGGCCAGCTGTCTGTCTTCCCTGATCATAAGGGACTCGCACGATGAAATGATGGCCTTTATGAGTCCAAAAAAAACTTATCTTAAATCAAAAATCTTGGATTTCGACGGTACACATCATTGACGCTGTTTCTCTGGGGGAAGCAAGGAGCTAGGTGCCCCTGCCCACCTAGAGACGTGGCATTCCTGAAGCTGTTGGCCGTCTTCCCAAACAAAGCCAGTGCACATCGCATCCTCAAAGAAACCGACTCCAGCCACAGCCCCCCCAAACCTCTCGAACACACTCCACCAACCCACGACACAATCGGGGACGGAGACGCTCACCTCCAACCGGACCCCGCAACCCCAACAACCACGACCCTCACACATCCACCCCGCAGCCAACCCACGGACTCCCCGCCCCGCACAAATCCACCGCCCCCGGACAAAAAATCTCCCTCCCGGGCAAAAGCTACCCATCCCCTCCCGGACAAAGCAAGGGCTCAACCCGCCAGGTCGGCCCTGGCCTCCTCCAGCCTGCCGGCGGCCTCCAGCTGCTCCCGCAGCTCCGCCACAAGGGCCTCCGCCTCCTGCCGTGCGCACCGCTCCTCCTCCAGCTCCGCCCTGACCCGCTCAGCGACCCTCTGCGCCTCGCCCACCTCCGCGCTCACGCTCGCGATAGCCGCCTGCAGCTTGCTCGCCGCCAGCGTCGCGTCCTCCCGCGCCGCCCGCTCGGCCATCAGCATCTCCTCCGACTGCCGGGTGGCCGCCCGTGCCGCCCGAACCTCGTTCTCCAGCTCCCGGATCCTGGGGCCCATGGTCCCCTTGTCCGCCTCCAGGCCGGCCACCAACCCCGTCAGTCTCTCCACCTCCTTCTTGGCCTCCATCCCGGCGTTCTGCTCCATCTCCATCGCCTCCGTGGCCCTCAGGTACTCCTGCCTCACCTGCTCCAGCTCCCCCCTCACCTCCCTGTTCTCCTCCTCTTTGACCGCAGCCAAGCCCTCCGCCTCCTTTGCCTGGGCCCGCATCAACTCCACCTCCTCCCCCAGCGATTTGATCCTCGCCTCGTACCCCTTGGCCGCCTCGATCTCCCGCTCCTCGGCAGACGCCTTGAGCGCCGCAACCTCCTCCCTGAGGGCCCTACCCTCCCCTTCCGCCGCCTCCAGCCTGCCCCTGAGCTGCCCGATCAGCCCCTCGCGCCTCGCCAGCTCCCCGTCCGCCTCGCTCAGCGATTTCCTCAACCCACTCGCCTGCTCCCGCGCGGCCTGCAGCTCCGCATTCACCTTTGCCAGATCCGCCTCGCTCTTGGCCCTCGCCGCCGACGCCGCTGACGCCGCCGACGCCAGGTCCTCCGCCATCTTGGCCGAGTCCGCCTTCAGCGCCTTCAGCGCGTCTCCCAGGGCCGTCGACTCGCGACGGAAGTCGTCCGCCAGCCGGGACTTCTCCTCCAAAACCGCTTCCGTCTCCTCCACACGCGACTTCAGCTCCCCGACCTCCGCCTCCGCGCCGGCTGCCCGTCTCCTCTCCTCCTCGATCCCGGCCCTCAGCCCCTCCCCTTCAACCCTCAGGACCTCGCTCCTATCCTTCTCCCTGTCCAGTTCGTCGCCCAGCCCCCTGGCCTTGGTCTCCGCGGCTTCTGTCGCCCCCCTCTGCTCGTCGAGGGACTTTTCCGTCTCGTCGATCGCCCTGCGCAACGAGTCCGCCTCCACCTTGGCCGCGTAGATCGCCGCCTTCTCCGCCTCCAGCGCCTCCTCCATCGCCGACGCCTCCCTCCTCATCGCCTCGACCAGCGCCTTCTCCTCCCTCAGCGCCTCCTTACCGATCGCCTTCTCCCTCTCCAGGGCCTCCCTCTCCCTCTTCTCCAGCTCCATTCTCCGTTCCATCTCCGCCTTTGCGGCCCCGCTCTCGGACCTAAACTCCGAAAGCAGCCGTTTCTCTTCCTCGGCCGCGCTTAGCGCCTGCTGCAGCTTGCCTTCCAGGGCATTCACCTGCACTTCCTGCTCCTGGCCCTGCTCCTCCAGCTTGACCTCCAAATCGTCCGACTCCTTTTTCTGCAGGAGGAACAGCAGGCCTAGGCCGGCCGCAAGCACCGCAGCCCCCAGGCTCGATCCGCCGGCATCCGAATCCCCTTCCGCCTCGGCAGGAGCGGCGCTGGTGGGTGGTGCTGATGAGTTTTCGAACAGGGTCGCCGGGGCTGACTCAAGCGGCCGGGGGGACCCGCGGCGGGCCTGCTGGCGCTGCCTGAGCGTCGGCGACGACTTGAGCTCGGGCAGGGGCGCCCCGCCGTTGCGCTCCTGTATCAGGCGCCGGTACTCCGCCACCTGCGGACCAGCCAGGGATTTGATGAAATGATCGATGCAAGGCGCCAAGGGGCGGCAGCTTTTCACACCGCAGCGCATTTCCGCTCGCCGCGATGGCTTCAAGGGCCACAGCGACCTGCAGGGCGCGAGGAGGGACGCAAAAACCCAAAAGGGCCAGTCCCGGGATCGAGCATTCCCAAATTTCGAAACACTCGCGCCGCAGAGGTAGCGCGGAGGTGGAATCAGGGAGAGCGCGAGAGGAAAACGGGGCCCATCAAAAGCGCGATGCCCATGCCCACCTGGTCGACGTCCGCCCAGGCGGTTCCCGAGAAAACGGCGCCCGCCACGAGCGCGATCGCCGTGGACGCCCAAAGTCCGCCTTTTGATTCATCCCCCTCCTCGTATTTGCGCGTCTCGGCACCATTCCGGCACGCCGCCCTCACCAGGGCCCCGCCGCGCGCCGCCCGCCACATCGGCATCTGGCCCCCTCGGCGAGTGGCCCCCGGCGCCATCGCCCCGGTCGCCATGGGCCCGGACGCGCCGTTACGCCACACACTCCAGCGCGTCGCCTTTTCGCGCATCGGCGTGAGGTCGGCCCCCGTCGCGGGGCAGGCAGCCACGCCGCGGGGCCCAAGAGACATTGCGGGCGGACCCATCAAGGCAAAGGAGCCCGAATGTCGGAATGCCTCGAGCGGCCGAGTCGCTAGGTGCGCCGCTTTCGGCCGCCTTCAGGTGATTGTTGAGCACCTAACGAGGTCTCAACTCCCGGAAGGGGTAGCGTTCTCTGCGAGCGGGCGTCACTGTGGGCCGAGCCGCCGATCAGGCACGGGCAGGCGCCCAACACGGACAACAAGCGGAGCGAGCCGACTGCCACGTGGGCCTTGGGCGTGGTGGTCCCCTTTGACGGCGGCCCCACATTTTGGCCAGCTCCCCTGTTCTTTTGGCCGTAGCCCGGGCAAAGATGGGACAAAATGCAGGGCAGATGACGGAGTGGACACCCTCCAAACGGAGTGGGCACATGACGCCCTTGGTTTGGTTTGGGACCTGCTTTGGACGCTTTCGATTGCTCGGGGTGTTGCGGCGCTGTTCGGCTGCAGCGAGGAGTCAGAGCGCGGTCTTCTGTGTGCTTCCTCACTTCAAAGCTGCGGCATCTTCCCGTCTGAGGGGGAACAAGGCCCCCCGGGGCCTTGGCCTGGCGGACGCACCAGTGGCCTCCTCGCACCTCTGCGCGGAGAGAATTTTGTCTTCCCGACGTGAAATTGGAGAATTGTGGTCATTCAAAGTCGTTGAGTGACGTCAACGCCGGGCGGGTGGGCGGGCTGCTGTCCACAGCAAGCGTCTCCGCTGCATTGCAGCATGGCAGCTTTGCACAGGTGCCACATCGGCAGTCCGTTTGACTGGTAACAAAATCCAGAAAGCTCAAAATACTGTTCACTGTTTAGCTTGAATGCTTATTGAGCACAGCTGGCATTGACCAAGGCCCTCATGCCTATACAGCATATCCTATCATTCAAAGCGATTGGGACTTCAATTGAAAACCATGTTGTGCAGCTTTGCTGTGCATTGAGACCACCACTGCAACGGCAGTGTCTAGCCAATGTCTACAAGGTGACACAAAAATGCACTTTGCACATGTCTCAGCGGCGTCTTCTCGGCACACAGGAATAAGCGGACGAACTTGAAGCTTGGCCCTGGTGATACGGGTGGTGTTCTTGGTTGCGCAGTGTTTGCCAGTGTGTTTATCATGGGCTGGGGAAAGGAGTGACGTGCATTTTGTGCATCACCGTGACACCCCATGCAAGCAATTTTGTTCATATCAAAGTGCTGCTTTACATTGCTGCCATTTTGTGTGAGTGCCGCGGTTGGGCACTGGCATGTGCTCAGTGCCTAGAGGAATATTTAGGGGCACCCCTTGAATCTTGGCCAGGATCGCAATCAGTTTGTGGTGGGGTTTGTGGTGGAGAAGCTGCAGTTATGAAGGCATGCGACCTGGGGGGTTTCGGATTTGGCTGTCTTCGTCTGTAAGACCATCTAACCTTTAACCAAAATCCGCCCGAATTGTCTTGCAGTGCATGCTGCAATGCTGGCACTTGGCAGCACAGTCCGTGTGTCTGTTGGACTGTTCCACGGCGTCACAACCATCCCTTGCTCAAAGCTTCTTGTGGTATTTTCCTTTGATATTTCAGGACAATCCGGTGGCGCTCTCTTGGTGTGCTTTTGTGGGTAAACTTAAAGAGGCTAGTGGCTTACTAATCTCCTTTCTTCTTATGCAACGTTTGGTGGCAGGATCTGCCACTCAGGTGTTCCAATTTCTCTCCATCTCATGGTCTGTGCCATGAGGTGAAAGAGGATTCATGCTGTGTGATGCATTGAGTTCTCGGGATTCTGCTATGGCCACAATCCACAGTTCCCTTCAAATTTGGCCATGTGCTTGTCAGCGCCACACTCTCCCGGCTTGGAATACAAAGCTGCCACGTCTAACTGTGTGCCACAAGCCTCTTGGCAGCAGTCCACATTGGGGATATGGGCACAAGTGTGATGTCCCAAACCACAACTGAGTGGGATGCAGCCCTCGCTGGGACACACATATGGGCACACTAGCTGGGCTTCATTGTTTGGGTCAAACGCCCAAGGGCAATTGCACTTCAGGGCTTGGGAGTCAAGTGGTCAGGCGAGGGTGAGCGCCCTCTCTCCAATCGAGCCGGGCACGGCTTTAAACGCATGAGAAGTGGGGTCCTGTCAAGCAAATCCATGGCCATGAGAATGCCATCCATTCCAATGGGAACGCACGGACAACTGACGTGATGGATCTCCATGTGTGACGTATCGACCATCATAACTGACCTGTATTGCTGCAAGGGCCCAGCAGATTGATTTGGACAGCGCTCACACAGGAATGTGGGGGCAGGTGCGCCAGCACGCATCTTTTTGTCGCAATGTATGTCAGTTGCATAGAACATCACAAACGGGGTGGGGCTATGGGATGGGGCAGCAGGGAGAGAGTGTGACAAAGGGGCACCTTGATGTGCGAGGCAACTTCCATCTCCCTCGAAGCCACTATGGATGGCGAGCGAGTCCCAGGCGCCCCAAAACAGCGAAAGACCAGGGAGATCCACACGGCCTTGATTTGGTCATCCTCCAAAAGGATCACGAACGTCAACATTTTACAGCTCGTTTCTACCGCCCAGCCTTCAACACCTGCAACGGCGTCTTGCCGCCGGGAATCCATTCGCTTGAAGCGCAAGGCAGCCGCCGGGAGGCCACCTGCCGGTCCTAACCTAAACGTCGACCTAAACAACAGACCCGCGTGACGATCGTCCTGCCCTCGTCCCCACAAGAAAACAAGTCCGCGGTGCCCTTCGAGAGAAAAAAATATGAAAAAAAAGAAAAACTGCCGCTACACCTCAGCAGGCCTGCGGGCGCCCTGCCGCAACCCCACCACCAGACACCGGCAGGCGGGACACCCTCGAAACCCCACGGCTCCTCGCCACCTCGGCCCACCCGGCCCCCCACCCGCCTCCCCGCACCACAACCCGCTCACTGCTCGTAATAGGGCAGCAGCCCCAGCAGGCAGCAGCACTTCTCTCCCCCAGGAGACTTCACCGTCAGGCCTGGCCGCCTGGCCAGCCTGCACTCCGACGTGTCGTCCCCGCAGCACTGGGCCTCCACGTTCGCGTCGCACTGCGTCAGCGCCCCTCCGCTGGCCTCCGCCAGCCCGGACGCGAACTCCTCGGCCGCCACCCGCTCGGCCACCGCGTCCACGGTGTAGTTCCTGCCCAACGACTGCTCCGCCGCGTCCAGCCGCAGGCGGTTGTTGGCCGGGCAGGACTTGCGCGCCACCTCCACAAGCACGCGCGCCACCGCCTGCTGCACGCTCCGCGCGATCGACTCCTCCTCATCCCTGGCCCCCCCCTGGCCCTCCTGGCACGCAGACGCCTTGGCCTGCGCCCAGGCGCGCGCAAAAACGACGCTGAGCGACGCCGACAGGCACAGCGAGTTGTTACCAGGCTTCATGACCCTTCGCCTGCGCCCCACGTCCCGGGTCGTCTCCACCGCGTCGCGTAGAACCGCCTTGGCCAACGAAACTGCAAATGCGTCCGCCTCCGCCGACGCATCCGCGCACGCCGTGCCAGAACCGCTGACCTCCACGCTGACCTCCGCCGAAGCGTAGGCCGTGGCCACCGCCTCACCCACAGCAGCGGCCACGGTGACGATCATCTCCTCGCCGCAATACTGCCGGTGGTCGTTCAGGGTGCCGTTGAGAAAATCGGCTATGGCCTGTGTTGCGGCGGATGTGGATTCGGCCTTGGCCTCGCATGAGGCGCTGGCCGACGCGCTGGCGCTGCCGCTGCCCACCAGCGTGAAGGACGCCGACGTCTGCGCCGCGCAGGAAGTCAGGTCGCTAAAGTCGTTCAGCGACATGCTGGTGCCGCCCGTGGACAGCCTGGGAACGGGGGTCCCGTCATCCGCCTGGAAGATGCGCCTGAGGCCATCGGCCCGGCCGAGTGCCCTGGACAAGAGCGCCATCGCAGCGACCAGTACCGCCAGGCGCGGGATGGCTGGCTTAAGGCCCGGCTGGCGCTTGGGGAGCATGCCTGTCAGCGCGCGGGATGCGCGCCAGGGGACTGGCCCACCGTCGTGAGAGTCAACGGGGCTGGGTTGGGCTGCGCCTAGGAAGGCGCAGCTGCCACGGCGGCGGAAAAGGGCGGTGAAGCGCCGGGGCCGAACGGGCGCCGAAGTAGTCAACGTCAGCGGAGTTGGGGGGGCGGGGGGGGGGGGAATTACGCCATCGCCCCGCCTGATCGGCACGCCCGTCCCCGGCCCGACATCCGCGCGGCTGAGCCGTCAAGGGCATATCAAGCGTGAGGCCACATTGCGTTCCACTTGTGCCTGGTGAGGAACGCGGTGATGGGGTGTTGTGACGGATGTCGCGCGCCCGCGTCCTGCGGTTTGTCCGCGCGCCTTGTTGGGGGCCGCCTGCGCTGGAGACAGGCGGAGAGCCGCGGGCAGCTCGCTTTGCAATATTGTTCCCTGTGCAATCCCGTCGGCTGTGCAGTCCACCGGGGAACGCCGCCAGCGGTTGCGAGACCGCCCCATGCATGGGGCTGCCTGTGTAGCGGACGTGTCGATGCGAGCACGCAAATCGTCCGTGCTACCGCGTTTTCCTTGCGCCGTTGCATTGTGCAAGAGGAGCCACTCACGGGCTGCGGGCCGCCGGCTGGGCTTAGAATGTGGGCATCTGCCGCGGCGAATTCTGTGCGCCGCATTTGCCGTCGCAAAACACGGCCGAGTCCCTGCGCCTTGCGGACGATGACGGGTACAAGTTCCCGCGAGTGGCCGGATCCAAGGTGTGGGAGTCAAACTTGGGGTTCGCGGGTTGCGGCGTAACGTCGACTGAGCTGACACTGACGGGCACGGGGCAGATATACTGCGCCTGGTTCATCACAGGGCGCCGCTGGCGTCTTGCGGACGATGACGGGTACAAGTTCCCGCGAGTGGCCGGATCCAAGGTGTGGGAGTCAAACTTGGGGTTCGCGGGTTGCGGCGTAACGTCGACTGAGCTGACACTGACGGGCACGGGGCAGATATACTGCGCCTGGTTCATCACAGGGCGCCGCTGGCGTCAGAATTTTTGGGGATGAAGAGGCTCTGCTGCCGGGGATGTCAGGGCGCCGGTGTTGTTGGAGCGTTTGCAACGTCTGGCGCGTCGCTGGGAGTGTCGCAGGTGCGTTTTGGCTGCGCACCTCTCGGTTACCTTCTCGCGCGCTGAACGCCAGCAAACGCCGGGCGCGTGACCGTTTGACGCTGTTCGGCACAACGAGTCCGTGCCGTGTTCAACCTCTGTTGCGAATTCCTGGTGTGACCCCTTTTGCTCTCGTTCCCTGCCATCCTTGTGCAAGCGCAAGGTGCACAAAAACGTGGGATGCGTGCATTGTCGCGGCCGCCCACGTGGTGGTTCGCTGCTTGCCACACCGATTTTGATCTTTCTCCATATTCTCCTCCTTCCATTTTCTTCCTGCAACTTGAGACTGGCTGATAATTTCACGATTCCAACATCGGGTAAATATCTCCTCTTCTCCAATTGAAGCTCACCCGCCTCTCTGGGGGGCAGACGCTGGCGAATACAAACATGCGTCTCATGTTCCATTCAGGCATTAAAAAAAACGCCAACGGAACTTGAATATGCCGCCTACGTTCCCCTTTCCACAACCCCGACGCCAGTGCCCCCCCTCACGTCCCTGTGCCACAAACCCGAACGCAATGTGTTGCCACACGCTGGCTTTCCACCCAAACCCTTCAAACACCCAACTACATCTATAGTTCACTGAAAGATTTCAGGAAAAAAGTGGCACAAGCAGGCACTCTGTGGTAGTGAGCCTCATGCCACCTTCTCAGCTGTTTCAAAAAAAGCCAAACAAAAGAAAACCTATTCGACTGGCTGTCGAACTCTCCCTTCAAACCACTCCCAAACACCCTGCTGCAGATGACTCATGCCTGACTCCTCGGACCCAGTCCCCCACCCCACCAGGCAAGACAACTCCAGCCGGGGCCGTCAGGGGTGCAACACGTACGAGGGGTCCCCCGGCCACCCCTCCCCCGCCGGTCCTCCTTCCCGGGCGCCCCTCCCGGCAGGCCCGCGGCCGGCGGGCAGCGGGCGTGCAGCCGCGCCGCAACGGCGCCATGCCCTCGCCGCATCGCGCCGCTGCCTGCGCGCTGCTGCTGCTGGCGGGCCTGGCGTGCCTGGCTGGCGCCCAGGACAGCCCGAGTGCATGCGGCGACCTTGAGGGGGAGTGCAAGTGAGTTATCGGCGCCGTTTTTGGGCGCGAGTGGCGCGTGGGCGACGGAAAAGGGATTCTGGCGAAATCCTCTGCTAGGGGAGTGTGTGGGCACGTGGAAAGCAAAGTCGCGCAAGGCGATGTTCGCACGGTGAAAATGCGGGTGGACGCTCCCGCGGGGGTTCGCCGCGATCAGGTGTTCGTGCCCCTGGCTGGCGGGCGGTGGGAAGTGCCCTGGCTGTGATTTCTGGATGGTCGAGTCCGGGCGGCGGTTCTCGCCGTTTTGGTTGGGTTGGAGGTGCGGCAGGTGCTGGGCGGCAAATGTGTGGCGGCTCGTTGGATGCTGGCCTTGGGCAAGGCGCAGGGTGTGGGCAGCGTGTGGCGCGTTGGTGTCCTCGACAGCAGGCGTGTGGGCCGCTTTCCGGCAGACGGGTTGGAGTTTCGACGCAAGGTTTCCTGACTGAGCAAATCATAAACAGCGCCAAGTGCTGTCTTCTCTTCAATTGTCTTGGTCCTGTGAAAAGTCGAAAGCATCGAGCAGACATCGGAGCCACGAATTGGCATCCATCAGCGCTACTTTCGGCTGAGCTTGGAGTTGATTTGTTCGTGCAACTGGACCCAGATTGCCTTGTCAAGAAAACTGACGGCTGTTGTTCGCTTGGCTGCTCAGCAGCAGTCGCCAGCAGGGCACCCATGCCCGGTTCCTTCACTAGAGGCCCTGGAAGTAGCCATTTCTTGTGCAGTTCATTTTCAAGGCTGCCCATATTACTGCAGTTGCATGGCTGTATTTTCCTGGCAAGTGAAACCACCCACCGGCCCAGAGATCGAAGGAAAATGCATATTCCCAAAAAAATTGTCCACAAGAAAGGCAGGCGAGAGTGAAAGCAAGCAAAGGGTGGGCACAGAATGAAGTTCCGGTGGTTTTGCATTGAATGCAGCTGCACGAATTCAGCTGCAAGGTGGCATCAGATCAGCTGGACAACTGTGAGGTTGTGTTCTATGTTTATTTCTGTCTGGACTGTGCAAGCATCTGCATCTATAGGGAACAGGCAGCCAAAGCCAATATTCCAAGAAGATTCCCATGTGTGCAGAGCGGGACAGGAGCCAGAACTTACTAGTTCCCTGTTGTGCCATTGCTTTGTCACAGAATATTTGTTCACCAGTGTGGATCCCACACATACTCGAACGAACTAGGTGGATCTTCTTGTGGTGCTGCCTTGACAACGTGCTATATGTCTCACGTGTGCTACGGGCTCCTGATACCAGTGGTTGTGTGCAGCATTGTATATTGAACAGTGGAGATAATTCACACATTGGGTCACCCCTTGGACGACTGCATGTGGGGAGTTTTTCACTTTGCAGTGCTGTATGATCCACGATTGGACGGAGGGAGAGCAGCAACAAGTGACTTGCACAAGAGCAGCAAACACTTCTCCAAGTTGTTGACGCAAATACAAGAAAGTTTGTGACTGCCTTTCAGACAGATTTCATATCCACTTATTTTGTGAACACAAGCAGTGAAGTGTGGAGCAGACCTCCCGATTGGCCAAAACCCCAACCATTCTGTGTGTTGGAGGGGTCACCCAATGCAGAGCCTTTTCTTTTCAACTGTGAGCAGCCTGGCACTGCTGAACAAGTTCAAAGAAGTCAGAATTTATCTCATCGAGCAGCCTCTGAGAATGACGCTGTGCCTGTTCCTGCAGTGAATGCATCTGCTGCTGCTACCGCGCCACCGTAGGCCTTGTAAAGTATCGCCCAGATGACAACTGCGGCTGTAAGGCGGACCTTGGTGAGGGCTTCGGATTCTCCATGGGTCTCCTGGGCGTCACGACCATCGTGTCCATTTTGAGCGGCTGCTACTTTGGTGGCCGCTGCCCAGTTTCGCCATACAGGGGTGCCCGGCGTGGCTACTCAGTCATGGAGCTCATGCCTATATCCACGTCAGGGCGAAGGGGTGGCCAGTAGAGCAGGTTTCGGGGATGGATACGGGACAAGTGATGTCGCCGATGGACGGAGGTCAAGGTTGAATTTCTTGGATGCCAGATGCATGCATAGGCGAAGCAGTGTCCGTGCACCAGGGTCAACACGGTGATAGAGGGGTGGGGTGGGTAGTAATGGACAGATGGACGTGTAGCTCAAGGCCTGTGGATAATGTGCAGTGTGGAGCGTGTCACAAGGGCTCATGCTGTGGCTCATGTTGTGCGTTTGCTGATCTGCAGTAGACAGGTCTGCACAGGCACAAGGGTTGCTTTGGGAGGCGACAAGGCCGATCCGTGCCTTGTGTTCATATGCACAGATGATGGCAAGATTATGTTTCCATGGGCTTCAGTCATAGCCTCCGTGGAAATGGACAAGCACGATCAACATGATGGTGGGCCTTGCATGTGAGCCTTCCTTGCGCTGCATGCTGGGTGCAGTGACAGGCTTCTACAGGATGTGAGAATAGGGTCTTCACGGTTGGCAGTTCGGGAAACAACATTGCTCTGACTGTGTTGTTCGACTCCATGCATACACTACTTGAGGTGCGGGCCGACTCTTGCTGAAACTCCAGTTTTGGCTATGCAAGTGCAGTTTTGGCGGTGTGGGATAATTCAGTAGGTCGGTGGGTCCATCGCTGGCAAGCGCTGGGCTCTTTGAGCGCCCAGGGGAGTGTAATAACAAGTTCCTGAAATGCCAGGGCTCAAGCAGCAAGAATCAACCAGCGCAGCGCTGGCACGTTTAGCTGCTGTTTTCGTCAGGAGCGCTTTGTGTCGAAAGGACCAGAAAAATGGGGCTTTCTCAGAGACCGCATTGCAATCCGTATGGGCTGCTAATATG